ACCCTACGCTGTGTTCACTGCATCATTCCATGTCTGGCACTGATCACCACCTGCACTCATGTATATATCATGTATATATCTATCCACTTAGCACTTTTAATTCTTATTCTTATTTTTATATTTTTATGACAGTATGTTTGCACTGAAGCACCGCAGCAATTTCCTAATGTTGTAAACCTGCTCAACATCTGTCAATAAACCCTTTCTGATTCTGATTCTGCTCTCCTGTACACACATTATTATCTACGTTTCTTCTCTCCATCATAATAGCAGCTTTCATTCTTTACCGTCATAGTCCCTAGTGTCACATTTCCTTCCTTTTCTCTCACTGCTTCCTAAGATACCTTCCGCCACAGGCAGTCTTTGATACACTCATTCTCGATGAGTCAGAATTTTGTTTTAGCACAGATTTTTATGCCAGATGACCTTCCTGCACCCTCCACCCAACATTTGTTTTATTTATATAAAATAAACATGATCAGGAAACTTAAAGGTACACAAATCTACCATTCTGACTGATGTACTGTCCTGGTTTACAGTGTTTGTGTTCCTGTGCTCTCTCACAGCTGTGTCCTGTAGGGTGGACACAGTAGAATCCCTCCAGTGGTTCACAGAGTGCATCTGATGTTACTGTACACGGTGTCTTTATTCTGAGACCAGAACCTGCCAACATAAAAAGAACGTACTCAACATTTTTCATGTGTTTGTGATTCATGATTTCTTGACTGAAAAACACCTTTGATCGTTATGACAATCAGGAAAGATGTGACATCATCATGTTGAATATTTGGATTAATGAACAAAGACATCCCTTAATGTCTTGATTTAAGATTAACAACAATTAACAACAAAATAACTCTGTTGAGATCTGATTCAGTGTCAGGGAATGAAGATGTGAACATAAATGTACCCGAGTCACAGTTTGTACAGTGATGACATCGTTCCAGTCCATTAGGTTGATCAGTGTAGGTTCCAGTCATGCAGGGCAGACAGGAAGTACTTGACTCTACAGTGCAGTGACTTTTCACTCGATTTCCTGATGAAAACAAAAGCAAGAAATCAAACTTTTTTTTTCACCGTGCATCCAACGTGTGTGCTTAGAAAGCACATGCACACATCATTTAGTTGGTTCTTACCTGCAAGACAATTTGGACAGCATTCATTTCCTATCTGATACTCTCCTTGATGGCACGAGAGACCGAGACCACTAAAGACTTTCATCAGAATTATCTGAAGGGAAACAAAAAGGTTTAATCTGATCATCCACTGCTTACTAGACTAACAAAGAGCTTAAGAGTGCATACCAGAAATGCTGCAGCATTCGCAGGTTTCCTTCTTGAAGACATCTGATCTGACAGGCTGAAATTTTCCTTGATCCAAAAAATGAAGAAACGTCCCTGAGATTTCAGATGATGGAGTTCTAACCAGAAGAACAGCTGGACAACATCTGGAAACACAAAAAAAACAACAGGTTAGAGATTACCCAGCAACAGGCCCTAAAGTGTCCTAGACGATGATGAACCAACGTAGTCAGATCATAATGAAGCTGATACTGTTTACACAAGACTTCACACAGTTGAGAGTGAAAGGGCATCAGGGGAGGCAGAGAAAAGATTTTAGCAGCCACATCTGTGCCTCCATGGTCACAGTATGAGCTGTGACCATGGAGTCTAATGCTCAACTAAACCATCAGCAGGCGACCGTGGCTCAGGGGGTTGAGAAGCCCATCTGTAACCGTAAGGTCGCCGGTTTGATCCCCGGGCTCTCTGTCCTGGTCGTTGTGTCCTTGGGCAAGACACTTTACCCTACCGCTTACTGGTGTTGTCCAGAGGGGCCGATGGCATGATATGGCAGCCTCGCTTCTGTCAGTCTGCCCCAGGGCAGCTGTGGCTGCAACTGTAGCTGCTTCCACCAGTGTGTGAATGTGAGTGAATGAATAGTGTCATTGTAAAGCGCTTTGGGTGCCTTGAAAAGCGCTATATAAATCCAATCCATTATTAGCCACAATTATTGTTTTAATGCATTTAAAAGCTAACAGACAGCACAGTTTTTGTTTTTTAATGATTAACTTGTTTATTAGGATTTTAGTTTGGTTTTGTCTGACCAACATCTCAGTCCATTCTCCATACTAGTTGTTGGTGGTGATGGACCATCTGGTAGTTTTCCACCAATCACCAATAAAGGAGAGAGCATCCAAAAGTAAAATTAACATTTTTAAATGTTACTGTGACAAGAAAATACTCATTTATGTTGTTCGTAGGTGAGACTGTAGTGCTGTGAATTTCAAACATCTGACATCAAGATATTGATTATATGTGAAAGTTTGTTTCCTCCTTTAAATCACATCTAACAGGTTCAAGTCACATAAGTTGGTGTGACGATCCACATGAGCTGAGCTCATGAAAGATGAGTTCACTGCATCATTCCATGTTTGGCACTGATCACCACCTGCACTCATGTATATATCATGTATATATCTATCCACTTAGCACTTTTAATTCTTATTTTTATATTTTTATGACAGTATGTTTGCACTGAAGCACCGCAGCAATTTCCTAATGTTGTAAACCTGCTCAACATCTGGCAATAAAACCCTTTCTGATTCTGATTCTGATGAAGCACATTTGCTTATTTCATACAAACCATTGCCACAGTGTTGGCTTGTGTTGAGCAGGCAGCTGCCCATATTAAACATGTGAAACGGCCGTAACTCCGTCGGATTCATTCTTTGTGCTCCGCGCGGACAGAACGGCAGAGTC